TAAGATATAAAAGCTAATCAAGTGGGGTTTGAATTTTAATGACACTGCACTACTAAGCTTTTTGTATTGGAGTAATGGAAGAAAAATGGAAAAAATAAACACAGAGGCATTTTATTATAAGGCTGAGAGGTGCTTGATACCACTTTAGTTTTCCATGTAAAGTGTACAGAGAAACTAAAATGCTTCTGATCGTTACTTTCCTACCAGAAAAAAAAAATTGTCTGGGCCGAGTCCTCTTTGCTTTGCTCACTGACAGGGTGGAACTTCTTGACACCGAAGAAAACCCTGCAGCACTCGAACGGGGAGACATGTCACGTGTTCATGTGCAGTGGGGCTGCATCAGAAGAGTTCTTTCAGGATCCCAGAACTGCCCACACGGTGCTGGTGCACAGCGTGCTCCTCGGGGCTGGGGGGAAGCTCTGCCAGGCTGCACTTGGATGTGGAATCGCGTCATTACAGCGGCAACACTCAGGGTGGTTTTGCTCCTCTCTCCTCAGAGATGGGCTCTGACAGCAGTGCCCTCAAGTCCTCTGTTCAAACGCTGACCAATTTGAAACCTGGCCTGAATTCATCAAGGCTCTTAGTTGATCACAAGAGGACAAGTTACTGTATTAATTGCTTTCAGTTGATTGATTGCTTTTTGAACACTGTTAGAAGCTTGCAAGTCTCAGTCATTTTCCGCTTGGAGTAGCTTTCCTTTCTTATCCAAGAATTCAGTTTGAAAACTTAGAGTGATTTGATCAAATGTTTGAAGAGCAGCTTATGGGTTTAACATTTATAAATAAAATAACCATGAATAAAATCGTAGCCATTGGTAAACGAGCACTGCAGTGGTGGAGGTGTGTGGAGAGCTGAGGGGGACTTTTCCCAGAGAGGCCGTGGTGAGCAGGGAGGAGATGCCTGTCCAGCCATACCTGGGAGCTGCTCCTGATGGCTTTTCCACAGGCGTCCAGCTCTGTCAGAAACCACTAAATCTTGCGAAGTTTATTTTCCTTAGAGCATCTGTGTTTTATAATGGCGCTTTTAATTTGTTGTTTCTTTGTCTGCTGGGATTTCTTTTGTCCGGCCCTTTCAGGCCTCCCTGTTTTCCTCGGTGGAAGTGAGTCTGTCAGTGATGGCTGGGCTGGGAATACCTCCCTCCCTCTGACAACAAAGCACATTGTTGTTTGCTCTCCTCGCTTTTATCCTCAGCTTAATGCGTTTTGCCTTCGGTTATCCGTGGGATGAAATGTCTGGAAAAGCGTGGCTCGGGTTCTGGGGAGATGAGGTGAGGGTACGAAGGCAGAACCCGCTGGTTTTCCATGTAGATGTGGAAGTTCATCCAGTGTGTTAAGGCTGCACTTGGAAATGAACTTCAGTCTGACTCCAGAGCCACGGCATCCTTGGCTTTTTGGAAGTCCCTTAGTAAAATTAGTAAGAGATTTACCAGCAGCTTAAATTGAGACATAAGCCTGTTTTTCTTTTTATTTCTCTCCAGTGGAAATCTGAAAGGCTGAGTTAGGATTAACCAGAGGAATTTTTTGACGTGGGTTTAGCTGCGACCAGGAATTCATACCTTGAGTCTGCAATATTTGAGTGGAAATGATGCAAGCCCTGAGCTGTGGCCCAGGCTGGAGGGGGAGTGCAGGCACATGGGAAAATAAACCTGAGCCTGAACCGGCTTTAATGCATTCCGTGCACAGCTCTTGAACTCTGATCTGAACGACTCTTCCCTGGCAGCCCCTGGAAAGACAAATACTTGACCCGAGGGCCTTGCCTTGCTCAGGGTCCTGAGGGCTGTTGAGCTCAGCTCCGGGGGAGCACCGAGGGAAGAGCCCCCTCCCTCGGGATGCTTCCCTGGAAAGGTTCAGAGTGCCCCCTGAGAGGACGTGTTTGCCGTGGGATTGGGAGGGTGGCCATTGATTTCCCCTAAACTTCTCTAAATTCAGCGGAAAATGAGTAGTCAGTAGGATGTGATCTGTGTGCAGCTGTCAGTGTGCAGCCAAGTTGCCATTCCCAGCTCAAGGCACTGTCCACGTGTCCTGAGGTAACTGGAGTTCAGGGTTCTGTATGAAAAATATTGGAGATTTTGAGCAGACTTAAACTTTGGCTTATTTGTTGCCTGTCCTTTGACAGCGAATCAACAATTGCTCGAGCTGTAGAAATAATGTTGATGCTTGACTGCATTCTTTGTGCTCTTTTGGCCTGTGCACACACAACTCCTGTTTACTGCAGGAGTTTCCTACTTGGACAGGCTGGAGGAATGGAAGGGAATTTTTCCAATTTCTGGAGGGCTGCAGCAGCACACCAGAAAATTATGGGGTTTTCTTTAACCTTAGTCATCCACACCATCTTAATATTACTGTAGTGAGACTTTCAAGAACAACTTCACTGTCAGAAATAATTTCTCTCCTTTCTGCAGCCTTCCAACTTTGAATTTTTGACTTGTATCGCTTTTAATTACATTTTTTCGCAGTTAAGCAACTGAACGTTGCTGCAGAAAATACAGGCTGGCAGGCAATGGTTGTTGTGACATATGTTTGGTGCTTACAGCTTTTTTCATTTGTCATAGCTGAATTTTTGTATCATGGTTGGGCTGTGCATTATGAGCTCTGCTTTAGTTAATTTTTTATTGAGGTTTGTGTACATCAGATTAAGCTGTGCTTCTAAATATATATTTACAAGTTAAATGCTTGGCCTCCTGAATGTTTTTTTGTGGTTTGTTTTTTTTTTTTTTTTCCCAAAGAGGAATCATCTTAAGATTTTGGTCCTATTCAGCATCTCTTTTATACCTTTTTATTCTCTCTTTATAGTTTAGTGCCTTTTTTTTTCTTTACTCTGCGTTTTCTTACATGTGAGCCTGAGAACTGTAGGATGTTGCAACTTCAATTAATAAAAAACTCTGAAGGAGTAGCTTGATCCTGCAGTTCTCCTGGTGTTCTCAACTGCCTTGGGATTCCTCAGCTTGCTTGGGAGCTCATCCTTGTGTTGGAAGGACGTGTGTAAATTCCTCCTTGCTCTGCGTGCAAATATTCCATTGGATCGGCTGAAGGTTTTGCATATGGAAAACCCCATGGAGTTGGGAGTGGGTCATTAAATGTGCCTTGAGAGGGGAGAGGGGGCTGTCACCACACAGCCTTTGGTTCAGGAGTTCCTTGTTAATCATTATATTCCAAACAAGTAGAAGAAAACAGGTTATGGACATTGGGAGCCCCCTCTGCAGATCCTGGGGGTGTTTGCTGTGCAAACGTGGATCGAGGGGAAGATGGGAGAGGGAGACACTTTCAGAGAGGCCTTGGCTGCATGAACAGTAACTAATTAGACAATAATGCACCAAACTATTCATGGGCCTTTCTGCAAGAACCAAGACTGTATTATTAAGCTAATCTTAAAAAAATTAATTGCATCTCAGTCTTAATTTAAAACTGAGCCGGGCTGTTTTTTGGTTTGGTTTTTTTCTTTTTTCCTTTCCCTTTTCTTTTTATTCCAAGTTGGTGCAGGAAAATTGCTATTAATGAAATCTGCTCTCTGGGACTTCAATAGGCTTGTTCTTCATTAAAGCCTTGCTGTTTCTCTTAAAACGTATTGACCGACGCTCGGGCCAGAGACTCCCACAAAATACACTCTGTAATTTCAGCATTTCTCTTATTGTGCTGGCCTGACATGCAGAGAGCCCTGGGGACTTTGCAGAAAACCCCCAATAAAACCCCTCAGCTCCCAGTTATGTAGTATTAAAAGAAGGGTGAAGGAAGCATTGAGTGTCTTTAGGATGATGAGACATTCATTAAGATTTTTCCGCCTTCCTTTTCCTATTTTCAATCCAGCTGAAGTACCATTAAAGCTTTTCAGGCAGCTTCCTGTGAGAAACCCTTTGCTGTGCTGTTTTTCTTCCTTGAAAAAAGGTGGCTGCTCTTGAGGCAGATTGTATGGCTTTGGCCTGGGATTTGTATAATATCTGTGTAGAATGCAGCGGTTGTTTAGGAACCTAATTCCCAATATGGCTCCCTTTTGATTAAGAACAAAGCCAGCGTTTCACAGCATTATAGGAACACAGAAAACCCAGTTAATGATCTAAACCTTTTAATTCATGGTTGCTTGTCTATTTAGAGTACTTTTGATTCTGCTATAAACAGACTGGCCCCTTTTTTTGTTTAACTTCTTTCTTTGGTTTCTTCGCATTTCTTTCTTTACTGTCCATGAAATTTGGAGCTCGTTTCCTTTTCCAACTGAAGAATGAAAGGTTGTGACTACAGAGTGATACAGGGAGTAAGAAAGCGTATCCAGACTGGGCGTCCATCCAGCACAGACCTCTTTGAAACAAGCTAAATTTAGGCTTCTTGGGGGTTTTCTGGTTGTGTTTTCTCTTTCCTTTTTTTTTTTTCTCTTTTTTTCAGTACCTATGTTTCATTTTTTATTTTCTGAATGAAGATGAAGTTTATGACTTTTTTGATACTTTCTTGATTTTTACATGGAGTTTGGCCTGGTTTTATTTTACACAGTTACTTGATATTTTCCTCCAGCCTCAGTGCTGCAGATGATTATTCTCTGTGTCTTTATCCATCGGGACAACAAAAGCGACCTTTCCAGGACTTCCAATTACCAACACTGTATGTGGTACTTTAGGAAAATAATTCCCTTCCAGATATTCCTTTCTTTTTCAATAGAGAATTGGAATCCAGAGCTTGGTTCCTCAAAACGAACTCAAATACTTTTTGGTGAACAAAACTGCCAGGGCAGCAGCAGCAGCAGGAGGAATAATTTCCCTTCCATGGATGGGAATCCTCGCTTATCCCCATGTATGAAATTAGTATTTGCTGCTTCCATTGCTGTTTATTTTTTATCTGAAACGAAGATGAATTTTTTTCAGATTTTTTTTTTTATTGCAACAGGAGATCATTTTGTTGTTTTGTGGGTTTTTTTGGGGGGAGCTTTTTTTAAACCTTATTTCAGTCAGATGTAGAAATGCTAAATGAAGAAAAAAATTCCAATAACGTGTTTTCTCACATCTCTGTCCCATGAAGGTAAATTGAACAGCCAGGACACTTACAATAACTTCACAAACAACAACCCTGGGAACCCTCGGCTGCTGCCTCTTCCAAGTCTGACTGTGGTGTTGCCTCTTGCTCAGATCAAGCAGCCAATGACATTGGGGACCATCACCAAACGCACAGGGTAAGTGCACAAACCTTCCTTCACCTTCTTATTTATAATTCACAGGGAAAGAATTCGGGCTACCAGTGATAATTAATTTTATTCCTTACTTTAATTCCAGTGTATGTAATTTATTTGCAATGGAAGGGGGTGGCAGGGGGAAGAGGAGACAAGAAAAGCAGCATCAGATGAGTAAATTAAACCTGAAAACAAATCTCTGTAAATGCAGGAATATTCATTTGGGTGGCTCAGGAGAAGTTTTCACACCGGGAATGGGAATGAATCATAAGCAGAGCTGTATTCAATCAGAATTAAATACAGGTTTACTTTTTTGGGGGGGAAAGTTTGTTTGGATTTCCAACCTTTCCAAGCAGAATTGATTTCTGACTGTCAGAGCTGGGAAGACAGTAAGGCAGGTGGAGCAGAAAGGCAGAACTTAACCCTGCTGTTTCCTTGACCTTATTTTTCCTCTGAAGTGACTGTGCTGTACTGTGTGGTTCATGTGGTTCATGTGTGTCCTCCAGAGCCAGCTGCACTTTGGTACCTCTCACTGGGCCAGCAAAAAGCACCTCGGGATATTTGTTGGGAAAAGCTCCTCTAAATACAATATAATAAAACTAAGCAGATTCTGTGAGCTTCATACACTACAACAATTTTAAGTTAATTCATTCTGTTCAACAGTTGATCCTTTTGCTAAACTTCAAATCTTCTATTACAACTAACACATAAAGCTACTGGGTGATGAGTATACTTTTTCCTCTTAATTTTTAGTTGTTCGAATCCCTGAATATTTTCTAATTAAACGTCTGACTGATCCGTTAATTTACAGAGGGCTTTCACATTTTTAAGGAAAATAGATCGAGCATGGCATGTGGTTGGACAAAACAGCTGGGAGTCCTACAGCTTGCTAACATTTTCCTGCTGTTTGGCCAGTGCAGGCTCTGCCTTCCTTGCCTCGGTGCTTTCTTGCTCAAAGGCTGCTCCTGAGGGGAATTTCACCTGGTGTTTCATAAACTGGGCATAATTTTTCAGGATATTCCCCCTCTCCCTGAGTAATTCCCACATTCTGTGCCTCAGTGTCCAGGACGTGCTGTGAGATCTGTGTTGTTTGGTGCACTGGGGGTGCCAGCAGGAGCTGATTTGTGTGCACATAAACGTGTAGCCACATTCGTGTCCATCCAGCGATCCACTCCCGCTCCTCCTGATGGGAACTGGGATTTCACTGGGCCAGATCCTGAGCTATGAGCACACAGTTGCCCTCAGCACAGAGCCTGCCTGCAGAGAAATCCCTGAACTTCTCAAATGATTGTAAATGGGACTTAGGAAACAGTAAAGAAGCAGCCTGAGGGTCGTGCTGGGGTTTAAATTCCTCCTCCATACACACACATTTCAGCTGCTTGGGTTTACCTTTTTTTTCCTCTTTTTTCCTGCTTGTAGTTTAAACACAGGTGAGGGAAAAAAGATTGAGGTGAGTTTGGAAAGCCCAGCCAGGTGAGATGGGGATGAGGACAGGAAGAGATGAGGGTGAGGTTGGTGTGCCAGCAGGAGAGCAGGAAGCCACAGCTCCTCAAAGAGGGCAAATATCAAAAATGTGACTTGAAGAGAATGGTCAGTAAAGGACAGAAATGTAAACCTGGGCTCCTAGAACTGGGATGGACACTTAGAACCAGGTGGGACAAGGCAGAGAGAGGAATTAAAAATCCACCCAAGGGCCTGCCAGGGTAGGTAGGGGATAGGAACGCTGGGGAGGAGCAGGATTTGGGAAAAAGCACTTGGTTTGCAGTAATAATTAATGCAAAACTCATTACAAAGGCTGTTTCCTGAGTGCTTGGTGATACCAGCAAACCTTTCTAAAATTGTTGCATGTGCAATAAGTCTGCATTACTTTATGGAATGTTTTATTCTTGAGTATCTTCAGCATATTCAGAGTGCTCATATTCATAGTTTTCCCATAAATTGTACTCTTCACAAGCTGTCTCTGCCCCGGTCTGTGCGATTTTAAAAGCTAATTAAATTTAAAATGCTCAGTGAGGCTTATGCAAGGGGGGGGGAAACAACAGCCATGGGAAATACCCTGCTGTGTAAATAGAGTTTTCGTGGATGAGGATCATAATTTTCAGCACAGCCCACGTAGCCGTGTAACGCTGAGCCGAGAGCTTCCTTCATTTGTTCTGCCTCCAAAATATTTGGTGAGAGCACAGCAAATTAACATGAAAAGCTGCGTTTGTAAGGCAGGGATTGAAGAGGAATGCCTCGCATCCAAGAAGCCTGGCATGCCTAAAATGACCAAATTGAGACAGCAGCCTTAACTTAAACCTCCAGGGGGCAAAGCGTGTGTTTAACATATTTAACATCTGCCCTCGTATTTCTGCAAACACATCGCACTGTGGGGCTGTGCAGTGTAATTTTTCGACAGGACAGGGACCATCTGCCTCACTGGAGGAGAGGAGGAGGCTGCATTACTGCAAATGGCAGAAGACAGATGTATTTACACCTACATGGGCAGCACCTCTGAGCACCGCTCCGAGGAAACAAGGCTCTTCCTCGGGAGCAGCTGCTTAACCTTGCGACTGTGCAGCGATCAGAGGGGGAGAGGAGCTCAGAGCCACTTGGCTTTTACACTCTCTGTTCACTCCTCTTCTGCTGCTACCCTTAAAAATTACAAATTTCATCTGTTGCAGCACAGCTCTTAAAAGTAAAAATCAGGGTTGAAATACTGTGTAATTAAAAGTCTGGATTCATCTTCCTTTTAATGTACAGAAAGCTTCTTTAACACTGAACGTCTGCAGGGAGTCCTGGAGGTTCTGCTAACCGAAAAGTCAGGGTGGGTTTTGTTCTGCTGGTATCCAAGACAGCAAAATATTTTGCAGGTACTGAAAGGACTGATCAGTGCTCTTAATATCGTGTGTCTGGAGCAGAGCTGCAGAGCACGTCACGGTGCCTGACAGGTGGAGTGGCAGTAGATTTTTTAGGAGTGTTCCCTGTAGCCCTGTGGGAATGAACGACGGAGGCTGGAGTTGTGTCATGACTGTGCTGCTCATCATGGGGGCTTTGTTTTGTAGATTTTTGGAACGTGTCCCGATCGGTCCCTGCTGTGAACGAGGTCCCCGTTCTCAGCCCGGAGTGTCTCGGAGCATCTCCCCCTGTGTGCTGCCATCACTGCCCCTTCCCTCCTCCCTGCTTCCCTCCTTGCTTTTCCAAGGCTCTCGTTGTAATTTCCTCACCTTCATCGAGCGCTTCATTCCTGTCCCTACATTTTGTCATCCCATTGCCCGGCTCTCCTGCAGTCCGTGCTGTCAGCACATCCTGAAGGAGCAGAGAGGCTTTCCCAAAGGGGCTCTAACACTAATGAGTGAGGAAGCATCTGATGTTTTAAAGATTAGGGGGATGCAGGACAACACAGGAGCTGGATTTAATAAGTCTTTATATATCCATGCCTCAGTTTCCCTCTCCAAATTTTAATAGTCAGGGCTGGTGAATGGGTTAATTCATTGCTCATTTACAAAGAGCTTATAGATTTGAAAGGGGGAGAGCTGGGGGATCCATCTCGTTGTCTATAAAAGGCAGTGAATCAGAACATTCTAGAAGGCAGCTTTGTGCTTTGCAGGAGCTTTATAAGTGTTCCTTGTGTTTGGGGGATGAGTTGCAGTTTGTTTCCAGTTGGTAAGAACGTGGGGACACGGAAAAAGGGAAAGAAAAGATACAATAATTGCCCCGAAAGAAAAGCTCTTGTCCGAGTCGGCTCCTCTGACAGCAGCATTTGTTTTAAGTTCCTCAAGGGACATGGTCATTATACTTGGATCATACTTCACTCTCCAGTTCATCCTTGCTGGAGTGAACAGCAGGATGGAACCTGCATTAGTTGTCAAAACAGAGACATCCAGTGTTCCTTACAGGGAAGGGGGAAACCTTGCCTTTTTCCAGCCAGGAGATTTAAACAGTGTGTTTTCAAACATGAAACTCTATCCCCTCTATCTTTCTTAACTCATCCCTCATTCCACCCCCAGTAAGGAAGGGGGAAATAGGTAGAGTGTCTGGTGCAATTTAATCATTTTAATATTCATGCAGAGAGAATCACTGGTGTTTGGTTTGTTTTGTGTCAGAGAGGTTCCTTTAGCCCAGGTTCTGCTACTGGAGCAAACAAAACCAAGGAGTGCAGAGTCATGATGTCATGGTACAATTAAATAGGAAGAAGTAGCTGAAAAAGTCACTAAAAAAATTAAAAGTAAAGCTTAAGAACTCAGCACGATTGCCTGAAGCCAGGCACGTTTCTCAGACATGTTTTGTGTCACCTTTAGCTTTTACAACACATTCTGGGAATAAAGCAAGTGCTGTCATGATTTGCAATTGATATGAAATACAGTTACTTGCACTAAATTTTGTTCAGATCCCACTGTTTATGAAAGGATTCTTGACATGGCCACATATCACAGTGAGGGTTAGAATAAATGGGACTTGCACAGCTCATTAAAAGCTTAAATGGCTTTTATCAAACGTTACCACACGAAATCCAAGCGTTTCGGTTTTCAGTTTGCTAAAACTCAGAACGAGGTAAGGCATTATGAAAACTCAGTCAGGATTTTGAACCCTAAACCACCTTCCCTCCTCGATTTCCCTTTGGAATTGGTCAGTGGCCACGAGGAAGGGGCAGCTCGGTGAGTCTTTGCCTTGGCGCTGCTCTCTGACCGTCACCCAGCGCAGCCATCTGCTGCTGGCTCTTCAAGGTTGGGTTCTCCTGTCATTTGTGGGCTCTCTCTCGCTCTCAATTAGCATTCCATCCGTGTTATGTGAAGGAAAGAGTGGGAAACAGTCGCTTATATAAATATAAAATGGTCATCTTTAAAGAAATCTGGCCTTGGGCACGGAAGGGAAACGCTGAGTTGCTTTTCTCGCACTTAAAGCTTTTTTCCTGAGACTCTGCTGAGGTCTTTGGAAGTGTAATTGCATTTTCTTCAGGGTACAAGATTTTCTGTCCAAACCCAACCAAACAAAAACCTTCAGTTGAAGCATGTATCCACCTGGGTCGATTTGTAATTAAAATAAGGAGAATTTGTTCATTTGCAAGTATAATCAGCCCAACGTAGTAGGTTGTGGAAGAAGAAAAAGGCTGTGTTATCTTCTGAAACCTTCTAATGGGCTCAGCTAAGTGTCATTTGCCTGATGTTTGCAGACAGAGCCACTGAGGCAGAGAAGGAAAGAAAAATAGTTGCCAAAATGTCCGTGATTATAATTTAGAAATCTAACTGTGAGCTCCCAGGCAGATCCCAGCACTCTGCAGTGACCCTTCAGATTGACACCAGATCCGTTCTGTGGTTTAAACATCTGTTAAGTGCAAAAAGCTAAAGGCCAGTCCCTTCCACAGAGATCAGCTCTTCATTATGTTTTTGCCTATAGTACTAATTACAAATAGTGGGTTTTTTCTGCAATATCCTATTCTTTATTGGGTTTTTACATCTTTGCATGTTGAAGGATGTGTGTTTAAGGTCTGTACTTCACCTAAATGTTTTTTTGAGAGGATGCCTTCATTCGCTGATGTTGTGCTCATGTCAAATTTAGTTCACTGAATCCTTTTCTATCAGGCTGGTAATCCTTTCAGTTGTGTAGGCCTATGGCTGAGTGCTTTAGAGCTGCACCTTTTCTGGGAGTTCATTGCCTCAAAATATTCCACCTGTTTCGACTGGCCAGGATTTATGGCCGAGTCAGAGTGTAAAAAGGAAAACGAGCCATCGGCATTTACAAAATCAATTATCCAGCGATTTTGTGGCTGTTGTTACATCCCAAATGAGAATCAGAGAAGCCTTGAGCGCGTGAGGAGCTCCAAATTTGCCTCCTGCTCCTCCTTTTCAGATTTTATGCAAATGCCAGTATGGCAATGGCTTTTTAAAGGGAGATACCCAATAAAAATGACCTCGGATTAATGGGGGTGATGCCACTTTAAAAACCATCCACTGTGCAAAATACCTGAACAAAACCTCAAATAAAACCGTGGTGTAGATAAACTGTTGGGGTGGCCAGAAGCACTCAGCTCTATGTCTGGTGATTTGAACATCAGATACATTTGAACCAAGTTAGGGTTCTCCTTCCTGCATCTGTGCAAGCTTTTATGTGAGGGAAGAAGATTTACCAGGCCACAGAGATGCTAAAGATCTTGAATTTAATGTGTGTTTCTGTCCTGGCAAAAGGCTGGAGTGATTTCCCCTTCTAAAAAGGGGGTTTAGACTTTTTAATTTTGGGTTAATTGTGCTGGTACCTGTCGTTGTGTTTACTCAGGACTTGCCACCTCCCATAAATTTGTAAAACCGCCTCACTTGGACCTTCTTGCAAAACACAAACAAATTTGTTGGGTTTGGTGCTGATTTTTCTGTCACTTTTGGCTCCAGTATCTGGTGCTGCCTCAGCTGTGTGAGCAGGGGTGAGGCAGGAGCCCCAGGCTGGATCTAAGCTGAGCTGTAAGCCCAGGGCCAGCTTGCACCGATGCCTTCCCAGCATGAGGAGCTGCCCTGGGGGGGTCGTGCCCGTGGGCACTGCTTGGGGGGGAGCTCAGGGTGCTGCTTCCAAGGCCAGGGCCACAGCTCTGCCAGGGCAGCAGGGACGGTTCCACAAACTGTTCTGGTGACTTTGTGCATAGATCTTAATAGCATGATGTACAGTGTACTTGTTGGGAATTGAGTTCTCATCTAATTTCTGTGCATTTTTCCCCTTTCCGTGAAGACCTTACCTGTTTGGAGCAGGATGTTTTTCCATAAAAGCTCCCTGGTGAGTTCCCAGTTCCAACCCAGCATGCCTATAATCCATTTGCTGTCCTGGCTGAAAAATAACTCTGTGCTTAGACTGTTTTTTAATTTGGGATGAATTTGTTTGTTTACCTGCATGGCTGATCCATAGGATTCCACCCCCCATAATTTCACCTTCAAACTATGGATGTGTGTTCACCATTGCAAAGAAATGCATTCACTTCTTTATTTCTTTTTTTTTTTTTTTTTTTACCTTTGAGAGTGCATTTAATTTTTAAGTAGCAGGGAAGTTGAAAAAATAAATTATTTCTAAGTGGGCAGAAATTACTGCAATGTCTTTCCAAACAAGCCTCTTTTTTTTTATTCTATATTGCTTCCTTTATTATTGGAGCACTAAGTTGCTTACAGACAGAAAACATCGATGATGACCTCTGGAAAATAAGCCAGATTAGCAGTGAGTAGGCAGTAAAGTACTGCAGGGAGAGAGGTGCAGCAAATAAAATGGGCATTGGAAAAAGAAAAGCTGATTTCACTTGAAAAAAACCCAAAAAACCAAACACAGAATGATTTGGGTTGGAAGGGACCTTCAGGATCATCTCCTTCCAACCCCCTGCCGTGGGAAACAGTTCCATTAAAATTGGAATATTTGAAATAATAAGGGGGTTTGGTTTAATATGAGAAATTGCAGCGTTTTATAAGAATAAAGGTGAGAGAAAAAGCAAGTTTTAACAAGTTTTTTGGGTTTGGAGCTTGACTCAGTATTTGAGCAGTGCTACATCTCCTCCATTTTTAATGGTCAGGTGGTTCAAGTTTTGGACAGCAAGAACTGGGGAAGTGGGAACATCTTAGAAAATCTGAAAACCTTCAGCTTGGAGGTTTCTGGGCTTTGGGTTTTTTGGGGTTGGGGATTTTCTGTGTGTTTTTAATTTAGTTCGAGATGCCGATGAGCTGTTCCTGTCAGTGCCTGTTGGGATATCTGTGTGTGGCTCCTGGTTTTGCCACTAGGAGTTGGCTCCACATTTATCACCCCCTGTGTCTCTGCCAAAATATCATCTCCAGCAGAAAGAACTTCTTGAGAGCTTCGTTGGGACACCAAGGGAAGGGCTCAGGACAGCTGTGGGGTTTATGGGAGCTGACCCAGCAGAAGCAGAGGCACTGAACAGTGAAGGAAAGAAGGGGGCTTTGCCTTAATCCTGGAGAATTTCCAATTCCTGAAGGATCTCCCTAAACCCCATTTCTAAATGCAGATTGTGGTGCAGCTCAGAATTTTGCCTGCTGGGGCTCCAAGAGCAGCAAAGGCTCTGGAAGGAGAGTTTTGGCAGGGGATGGTGTAGGGCAGTCACCCCCTGCCCAAAGTGCTGCCAAGCAGCAAGGAGTTCAGATGGAGGCAAGATTAAAAGGCCCAGATTCAAGGGGGGGGAATATATGAAATAGGCTCAAATACGGTTGCCTGTCTTTCCCAAGGCCCTTTTGTGGTTTGTTTAATGCCAGTGCTAGCTCAGAAATGTGGTCCTTGCTTGTCTGCAGAGAAATTGGGATAAAAAACACACTTTGGGTGGGGGAAGAAATCATGTTGTTTCCATTAAAGTCTTAATGAGACCTAAAATTCTGTAAACAAAATGAATGGAGATTTGACAGGGAAGAGCCTGGTGAATAAAGGAGCCCACCATTCCTCTCCCTTCTTTGTTCATAATGTGGCAACTGGAAACGTGTCTTGGGTTTCCTTGGTTTAGGCACAATGATAAACTAATTCAAATTTATGTACTTTTTTTTTTTTTTGTGGTAATTTGATGTGTAATTGCAAATTTTATCCAGTATTTTTCTCCTGATGGTTTTGTTGCTGCTTTTGTAGTTGAGGTAAAGCTTTTCCCTTCAGCAGTCAGAGATGTTTTGGTGGGTTTAGTGTAGAATTGTGGATAAATGCTTTTGCTTTTATGACTCTCCCGTGTTTGTTGGAAATACAAAATCAAAGTGATTCTCAGCCTTTGCAGCCCCTTACTATTTGATGAATAATATTTGAATTTATAGGGCAGTTCATTCATATCATGTATATGCAATTCATTTACTGTTTAAAAGTCACGTCACTGGTTTGACTGTGAACTTAAAGGTACATTTAGGAGCCACAAGGCTTTTGTGAGACACAAAGCTCTTTGAGGAACACCAGTTGGGAACTGCACAGCCTTCTGGTTTTCAGAGTATTTTAATAATGTTAACTCATGTTAATAAAATAGAACATAAAATGCAAACTGTTTAAAATATTGTAACTATTCGGTGTTTTTATGAAGAGCTAACACAGCACATTCCCAGAGATTGTGGCAGAGTTTGGTGAGTTCCAGAGTCAACAAGTGGTGGCACTGAATGCTTCCAGTAGGTCTTTTAATCCCTTCTTGTTGTGTTGGCAACATGAAAGAACTTCCACGCTGTGCTGGGTCCCTTCACTGCTCTTTGAGCTCTGACCAAGTGATGTCTTAATTTTCTTCTCTGGTTTCCTCCCGTCTCTCTTTGTCCCTTTCAGTAGAAAATGCCCGTGGATGTTTCTCATTGGATGTGTCTGTGTCTCCATCCCGGTGCTTCTGTTTTTCAAATGGAAATGACCCTCCAAGGCTGTGTTAGAAAAGTTAATAACCAGATCTTGGGGTATTTATTTGGCATTAACTTGCCTTTTGTAGGTGACTTTGCCATTGACAGCAGGGGTAGGTGACTGCAGCTGGGATGATGTGACATGGTCTGCAGCTGAGACACAGCTCTTAATACATTTACAGCAGGACAAGAGCTAAAGGGAGAAGATTTAAAAGGTGTTTTTTTGCTGCTGTTGTGTTTGTGGTACAGTTTTCTGCAGAGATACAGTTGGGATTAAACTGCTGCTGCGTCTCACTGAACTCCAGGTGTAGTTGCACAGTTGAGTAGAACCAGAGAGGAAAAACTAAACTGCTTTTTCATCCTCCTGCTGCATTAAATGTAGTGCTGCTGTTTCTAATGTTGGAAAGAAATGAAGATTGAAATTATAACTGGGAGTGTTTTGGTCCCATTTGCTTCACTGTCTTGGTTTTAGTGTTGATTCCCAACACCCTGAGCTTCTTCCTGCCTCCCTTTTCAGGAAAAACTCTGGCACAACACTTTGAAAGTTGCTCTATTGTGAAGATCCTTTTGAAATTAACTGTTTTTAAAAGCGAGGCCAAACGTGCCTTAATTTCAGCTCTTGGAATAATTTATGAAGTGCTGACAAGCCAAGAGCAAGGAAAGAGCAGGAGTTCAGAGCAGAAACAAGTCATTCAGCACCCACCTTCAACATTATTGCTTTGTTATCATTTATAAAGCTGAGAGGCTGTTTTGCATCTGCAGAATAATGGGGATTTATGGTTTCCAAGTTGTTAAAATATCACAATGACACGAAAATATACTTTGCTAATGGCATTACTGTGGCTGAGGGTAACTGGGCTTTGAAGGTTTGCTGAGGGATGAAGCTGGAGCTGGAATGGATCGATGGAAACTCAGGGATGGAGGAAAACGGGGGTAAAATGAACGACCCCTCAGTTACAGATTTCAGAACAGGAGGTTTGTTGGCATCTCAGCAGTATTTTCAGAGGTCTGTCCAAACCAAGAGTTGCACTGGGGGGTGTTTTTGTTTGTTTGTTTGCTTTGTTTTCCAGCAGGGCTGAGCTGAACCACACGAGCAGTCGTGTTTTACAAGGTCTGCTCTCTCTGCCTGAAAAGCATCGTCCTCCCAGGGAAAAACCTTCTGGCACTGAAAGCACCACTTAAGTGCTCTCCTTGAGAGATGTGCATCTCAGAGACAAGATGCAAACAGAACCCAGCTTAGACCATTTCCTCTGAGGGTGTTTGTAGCTGTACTTGGTGTGGAGAACCCGACAGAAATGTGTTGTCGTAGTCCCAGGTTCACTTCTGCTTCAAGGCTTGAAGGGATTGAAATCAGTTGTGTCCCTGTAGGAGTTTTTGCTCCAGTTTGTAGCTGAGAATAGCATTTACTTCCAATTTTTTCCCCCCCATTTTGAATTATTTTATTAACCTCTGAAAGTTATTTTAATTATTTAAGTGATAATTTAGTAAATGCGTCAGATTGTGCTGAGTAAAAATTGGGAATATGGGGAGAGTGCAGAAAGATTCTCTTGTCAGGAGTTTATGAGACTGGATGTGACTGAGTCAGACCTGTGCTCGTGGTGTGCTTTGTACTGACTGGTGGGTGACACTGTCACTCTGAACAATCTCCTCTACTAAAAACAATCATTGATTGAACTGTAGACCAGTAACAAGACTCCAGTTAGTGGATGCATTTATATTTTAATTTCTGAAGGAATTTTAGCGTGTGAATACTTGGAAGGCGAGAGCTAAAATAGTTCTCAAAATATACAGTTTGCTTGGAAATACTGTTTGTGTGACAGATGATTATTTCAAAGTGAAACAAACCTGTTGTGATTTTTTATGACCAGCTAACAAACACTTGTGAGTTAACACAATATCAGTTTAAATATCCTAACACAGATTGTGCTGTGCCACTGCAAGCAAGGGAGTGTATTTAGAGTCAGGAACTTTTTGGGACAGAGTTTCTGACCTAACCGTGTGTAGCTTGGATATTAAGTGCTTTGTGGTGGTTCAATAGCAGAGTTACTGACTATAAATTGCAATTGCTCTTTTGGGACATTCCAGCTTCTCCCACGTGTAGAGCTTCAGGTCTGATCCGAGTCCATGGAAGTTTGTCTGAATCCTTCCATGGACTCTGATCAGTGTGATGGAATCCCTTTGGAAAGAGCTTTTTTATTTTAATTTCTAGTTGATACAAGTAACCATTGGCTTGCTATGTGATTTATTAGTATGTGTGATATTTTAGTATAAATTAACTACAAGTATACCACATTTTAATTGTTTTCTGCCATTTTAAAGTATTTTTCTGCTGCTTAATTGCACTGGAACCCTTGCAGTGATTTGTCAGCACACACTTACATGAACACTCAGAATCATTCTCAGGAGATCATTGCTTAAAAATTGAGGATTGTTACTTAAAACTGACCAGGTCAGTGTGGTGTAATCACAGTCTGAAATAGTGTGGAAATTAGTAGAAGAAATAAGAAACAATGTATTAGTAGAGGAAAAAAAGAAAGGAGGAAGAGGTGGCAAGAGAAGGGAGCAGTGAAAGAGTAGAGATGGAGAAGGAGAAACCCTGTGTGGGCTTCTCAGACAGCTTTTCCCTTAAGGAAGGGGTGGGATCCTGGTTTAATCAATCAGCAGAGCAGAGTGTCCTGTACCTGCAGGAACCACTACATGGTGTTTCAGGAAAACACAACACAAAATTTCAGTCTAAACCCTTGTTTGTGCTCCACACACATCGTGGTTTCAGAGGAGAATGTCTCCTAATCTGCTTTTCCCTGGGGTAATTCCTGGTGTGTTCTAACACGTGGCTCATGAGCGTTGCATCGTTTCCCTTCCCTTTGTGCTCTGCATGTTTTCCCTCTCACCCTCCTGCCCATATCCCACTGTTTCAGGACTGGGCTGACTTAGAGCTGAGCAGCAGTCCAGGTTATTCCTGACTTTCTTTTTGCAAATGCAAGAAGATCTCAACCACCTGGAATGACTGCCCCAGAATCTGTTTTCTCATTCCCAGAGGATTTAGGATTACAGGTGTTTGCATTCACTTCTGAAGTTGTTTCTGTTGAATGCAAATATTCAGTATTGGGGCTTTTAAACAGTGCAGTTCTCCATTAGGAGCCAGTGCTGTTCTTCCAGTTAATGAGTTCAGTGATCCAGGGGAATCTGGGACCTGTTATTGGGGAACACTGAGCATCTGTAAATCCTGCTCAGTCTCACTGGAACTGCAGATAGTCACCCTTTCTGAACTGATAGATTGAAATTACTGTTAAGGGAGGGACATCTTCATTTGTAACTTGTATAATCCTGTTTTGTTCTTTCTTCAAAGCAAATCCAAACCAGCTCCCCAGATTTCACCCAGCAAGTCTGTGGGGGGAGAGTTTTGTGTCGCTGCAGTCTTTGGATCATCAAGGTCGTGGTTTGCCAACAATTCCGGGCTGAAGCGGGAGAAAGGTGGGTATGTTATGGAATCAGGGCTGGCATTTAAATTTCAGTTCTTTGTTTTCTCATTTTGTGACAAATTCTGGGGTAAAGGTGAGACACCTCTGCTAAAGCAAATGTCCAGACACAAGTTTGGGGGTGTGTAATTACCTGAGCACACCTTGGCCAGAAACTCTGTTCCACCCTCTTTCTCTTTTATGACATATTTGTTTTTTTTTTTTAAAAGGAAAAATTGTGTGTTTTGTGCAATTTTATTTTTGTCTTTCCAACCCTTTCTCTTCTTTTAATTCACATTTTTGACTGCAAGGAAAAGACTTAAAAAACCCCAGAGTCTGCTATTTCTGTAAACGTTTTTCTCTGTTTCTGCTGTTCTGCTGCAATAAGATTGTCTTTCCTTTCACAAACAGATCAATCAAAGCAGTTTGTGGTGGAGTCCTTGTACATCATCAGCTGCTACGGGAGCCTGGTGGAGCACGTCCTGGAGCCAAGGCCCCTCAGCACAGCTCCCAAAATCAGTGATGACACCCCTCTGGAAATGCTGACCTGCCCCAGAGCCAGCTGGACTTTGGTTAGGTAGCTCATTCCTTTCACTTTGCCTTCTTTTTGTCCAGAAAATGGTTGTGATCTTTCTTTTTTCAGTGGCCTGCATCACTCATATAGTTATTTTAAAACTCATCTTAAAAGACTCCTGAAGTTTTCCACTGAAGGAGGGGACACTTGAGGGAAATCCAAGCCTTTTCCATGTAGTTCTGTTTGTGTTTATGTGCCCCATTTAAATACTTCTATGGACGTGGAGCTACACGAACATATTTACAGATCAATAGAGATCCTTATCAATTGGTGATTTTGAATGATCAGATTGCAATTTACTCTTTATATCAGGACAGGAAACAATCATTTTAGTAGTGTTGAAGTACAGAATTGTGCTGTGAGACACGAGGGAGGTTTCCAGGCTGAAGCATTGCAAAGACTCAGGCAAGTTATCCTGGGAGGAGCTGAAGGTTGCAGCTCTCCAGACAGTTGAAGGAATTATTCCTGACACGTGGAAGAAAGTAAACAAAAAAAAAAAAAAATTGATGAGAAAGTGTCGTCAGTGCTTTGGACGTTTTAAAATATTTTTCTATTGATTTTTCTTGGCTCCCATATTCTTTAGTGCTGCTCCTGGCTGGGCTGGGCTGATCAATACTTGATTTTCCAAGCTATTTAGAAGTGGCCCACCCTAATTAAAATGGCAACGCAGACTTCTGGGCCGTTATTGTTGAAATGAGCAGGTTGTAATGGAATTGAAAAATTCTAATTGGATCGATAGCCCATAACTTTACACAGCTTTATTTTCACAGTTTGGAAGTGCTCAGTGACTTCACAGGGTGGGAGCAGTGCTGGTGAACAGAACAGAAAAGCTCCCCAGTTTCTGTTGTGTGTTTATATAACGTCAGCATGACATACAACGGTCCTAAACATATTTGCCAACTTAATCTAAACCTCCCTCTTGGGTTTTGGTTTTTTTTTGGTGTGCAGTCCATGCTGCAGTCAACAAAGAAGAATTGTCTCTGCCTCACAATCTGCACGATTTGGCCCTGCTGCTCCACTGCCTGTGGTGTATTGCAGTGTTTGAACAAGCTAATTTAAATAATTACAAACATTTTGTGAGCTTGTATAGATAATTGCATGTGATGACAGAAACACTGATTTACATTCTCTGTATTAGCTTAAATATTAATAGTCTTGTGTTTTACCTCAGAACTCCTCAGTGGAATGAGCTCCAACCACCATTTAATGCAAACCATCCTCTGCTCCTGGCTGCAGATGCTGTGCAGTACTACCAGTATCTTCTGGCTGGCTGTGAGTAGCTGACAACTTCTTGTCTTGTCTGATGTGCACGTTTTCTGCAGAGAGGGACTTTCTGAGCTGGTTTCTCAGCCTGTGTTTATTTCAGTGTATGCTCAGCCCCAGAACAGGGCTGTGTGTAACTTAACTGTGCTGGTAATGGTGGAGCACTCAATGTAATTTTGGGTTTTTTTACATGAATCAGAGTTGAGAGGCTGTCACACAGCCAAAGTGGGAGTGTGTGGCCTTAGAGTAGGGCCCATGGATCCCCTGAAGTCCTCAGGGATTCCTCACCTCCTTCCTTCTCACACTTTTAGCTGTTTCCTCTCGTGAATTCCACACTCAGTGACGAGTGAGTGCGTCTGCATTTTCCCCTCCCCTGGAACTCCTGGTTCCTGGGCTCCTTCCAGCCAGAGCCTCAGGCAGCTGCTTCCCTGGGGAGCCTTGGCACTGCTTCCACTGGCACTGCAGCCAGTGGCCACGTGGGCCAGGAGGCACTTTGGGTGTGACTGGGGCAAGGGACACTGGGGCCAGATTTGAGCTGTTGCTTCTACCTGTGCATCTGCTGCACGAGCCCAGGGTGTGTGGAAACCTGCAGGGTTAGATTGTTCCTCCTGTGCTGCACAGAAAACAGGAGTGAAACTCAGAAGGTGCAAAAGAATGAAAAAGTAATTAATAGTGCACAACACCATTAGATTTGCATTTTGGGTAGAATTTTTTGCTCAATTCTTGCCTTATTTTGTTTCCACCTCTAAGTAAGAGAGCTCTGCTGGGAGCTCCAGGGTCGGTGCAAGGCTGTGTTTTGGTTGTATGTTTAAGGATACAAATACAGATCACCATTTTCCAATGAGCCTGTCAAAGGTGAGGTGTGCAAGCCTGTGGTGACATCTTCACATGAATATTTTGAAACATAGAGTACAATCATGTCAACAAGTGTGTTAGCATTTTATGGCAAAGCATGTTGGTAACTGTAGAGCATAAGTCTAACTTCATGTTGTAGTTTAAAGTAACTGCTGCCACACAGTCTGCTTGTCCTGATGATAATTTATTTTGGTATTAATATTTTGACCCATTGCTTCTGCATTAGTTGCTGCTGAGTGGTCTCCAGACAAGTCTCCAAAATTAAGTTTTAATTCACAAGTACAACCTCTATTTGTGCAGCTCACCTGCTTGGGGCAGGTTTCTTCCCCCTCCTCACCCTTCCCAAATCCATCCTCTGCTCCAGTTTTAGATGTCTTTATCATCCATATTGTTTCAGCTGTTTCCCCTGCTTAGAAATACAGAAATTATTGTATGTAGCACACAGTTACTGCCTGTGGGTCCAAGAGCACAGGATGCTCTCTGGAGAATTCTGGACATTTTGTGTGAGTACTTTGTCTGCTTTTTAGTTTCTGCTGAAATTAAAAGCCGTGCATTGCAAAGACAGAGCCTGAACAAAAGCCTTTCTGGGAGTGTCACATGCACAGATCACATTTATCCCACGTCTAAAATCAGGGGTGGATGGTGCTCACTCTGTGTTTCATTAACATTTTATTAACAGCTCAAATACTACACATTTCAAATGGGTTTGTACTGGAAGCTTTTTAAAGGAGGAAGGATATATAATGAACTTGTACTATTTGAATTATGCAACTTTTAATTCAGGTTTTAATTCACATAACAGGAATTCTTTAATGTAAATCACACAGAGTCAGCCAGGTTGGAAAAGACCTCTGAGGTCATCGAGTCCAACGTTTGACCCAACACCACCTCATGGCATTGATGCCACATCCAGCCTCTCTATGAAATGCAAAGAAAATGCAAATAAAAACAGAATAATAAACACAGAAAAGCATCCAGAGGACACGTTAAAAATGGCATAACAGAGAAATCTGTGTGTATCTGATCTTTAGATTTGTTCGGTGTGATGCCACTCAGTGAAGTTCCTGGAAAAACTGGAGTGAAAGCAGCTTTCCCAGAGCAGAGCCCAGGACACCTGTTAAATAAGGGCTGACCTGGGCTGTGTGGCCCTGCTCACCTGCAGCTCTGCCAGGAGCTGCAGCCTGGGCTCCCACGGGCTTCCATCAGGGCCTTTGATGCCGGCACTGGCTCAGCCAGGGGCTGGGGATGCTCCATCTGTCTGCCAGGGCAGGAGAGGAGCCCTGGCGCCGTCCAGGGGCTCTGTTGGGATCTGTCCCTGAGGTGGAGCACAGCAGTGTCTCCCCGTTCCTGTATAGCATTTCTGCCAATTGTTTGGCTCCATTAAGTGTGCAGGGGAAATAAAAGCCTGAATGACCAAGTCACAAGGGGGTATGGATAGACCCTTTCTTTGTCCACACTCAGAACATTGCATTAGGTCTCATTATCCATTTATAATAAGTGACCTTTGCCCCCCCTGGGTCATTGAAAAACCCTCAGTGTGCTTTTTAGCACAGAGTACCTCTGTCAGCAGCCCGGCAGAACAGTGAGACGTCTGGCGGGCTGCTCGGGCAGCTTTCCATAAAGGACACGTTTGATGCCAAAACACAGGGCCAGAAATCTTCCTTAGGCTCTCAAAAACTATAAACCAGACCGGTGGCTTCTTGTGCCGAACGGTGAATATTCAAAAAAAACTCCTCATTTATTGACACCCAGCTCAGCTTTTAACATCTCTAAAGGATCTCCAAGTGACATTCGCAGCTCAGAGAGGGAAGGAACAAGGAACCATTGTTCGAAGAAAGGTTTTGTACAACAAGTGTCCAAGACCTTTATCCCAAGGGTATTTGTAAGTGGATCAGCCCAGCTGTTCTGTTGCTTTGGGGTCATGTGGGACATCTGCTGCACAAACCTGGCTGGGAGTGTGCAGTTCGTGCCTACCTGAGCTCGTTAGCGTGGCCAGGGCTGGGGCAGAAAGTGGGGAGCAGGAGATTTGCACCCTTCTGTGAGCCCGTGGCTTGAAAGTGAACTTGCATGTAGAATTCCACGAGCTGCTGGCCTGCAGGAAGTGTCAGGATCCTGCTGCCAGCTGTTTCAGGCTTTTTGCAGTTGGTCAGTGTGAAAACATCCCATCCTGAGGCCTCCTCACTTCTGGCAGAGCAGATTCCAGACTGGCTGTTGTCTCTGTAAGAGTTCATCCCACAAACCCCTGGATTTATTACAATCCTCAGGTCCTCGGTGCTGGGTGTTAGGACTCAGATATTTCTCCCCTACCCTTCTCTGATTTAATACATAATATTTTAGCTTATTTGTGTCTCTGGTTTTGGTGTCCACAGGAACTTTAAATGGAGAGGACTTGGCTTTCTCCAGAGAATTGCCAAGTTTTGCCATTACTTATTCCTTAAATCCTACTTGCTTCCTGCTGTTTGGTACTTGGGATGCTTCTGGCAGGATGAACTCTTGAGGATGGTGTGAGGATGGGCAGGGGCACCTCCCACCAGCCCAGGTTGCTCCAGGCCCCGTCCAACCTGGCGCGTTTGAATCCGTGCAGACACGAGCGTGGCCCACGATGGAATTGCCATGGAAATGGGGAACTTTGCAGCACAGCAGAAAGTCTGACAGCCTTGTTTCATTCTTCTCATTTCCTCTCTTCCTTATCCCTCCACTTGGAATTCACTTTTTCATTGCACTGGAGGACTGGACAGTGCTTGCAATACCCAAAACGTGACCAATTAACACGTTAATGAATAAACCCCCTGAATTAGGCCAAAAACTGCCCCACAAAGGTATCGAATAAACTGAGATCTGATTTCTCTCCTCTGGCTCTGGAAAGGGCACCTTCGCATTCCAGGCAGGAGTTTTGGCTCATCAGGACCAATTTTATGGACACAACCTGCAGTTGTCAGAAGTGGGCCAGTGACAAGAATTAATATATTAACTGGTATGCAGTACTCTGACAAATTGCTTACTAAATACATCAAAATTGATTGGGCATTCTGTGTTTAAATTGACAAATGACTGCATTAGGGGAAGGAGGGAAATCCATTAATTACAGCTGCCCTCAACCATAGGAAATGTAATCGTATAAATATAGATTTTGTTAAAACAAAAGTCTGTACTTTACTCCAGTGTTGCTGGTAAGTGTACTTGCACCTCTCTGCTATTAAACCTGCAATAGGAGGTTTTGAAGACAGATCTTTGCAATTGGCTTTTAAATAATCCAAGAGCATTTGTGTTGTGTTAAAAGGAGTGATGCAGTGTTTCTGCATCCCACCCTGACCGCTTCTGCAAATTGTTTCTCTCTCAGAAAAATGGACCTGTAGCCAAGGCTGCTGCTGTCTCATTAATTGTTTATTCTAAATGCAATGTAATTTGTGCTCCAAGATGTTGGGATTCAAACCTGTGCTCTGCATTCTCTTTCTTTGTCCCTGTCCTGGGCTCCAGGTAATACTCGCAGGGCTGTTACTTGTTTCTGAGTAAGAATTTGCTCTTGAGTTGGGCCTGAAGATACAATCAGTTTTATAGACTTTGTTAAGGGATTCTTGAAAAGATTAAGGCCTGTATTTATAGCTGCCTTTGACTTTTGGCTGTTACAGCAGATTTTCATTTCTGGACCAACTGCTGCACATATCTTGTGTTTTACTAAAAGTGGCTTTCATTAGGAGTCCAATTTAGTAACTCTCCATTGTCTTCAAAGGGAAGGGGTGAGCCTCTCCCTGCTGTTTGTTTGGGCTAAATGATAACACCATTTATACAGATAATCTCTGTAACTCTGACATCATGTTTGCACTTCCTTCTCCCTCTAATGAAAGCTGTGCACCCTGAGCAAGGCTTCTCCAAGCAGCATTGTGGTTCTTCATGAGCCATTTATATTCCTTTCCTACATTCCACTGATAGAAATAAAAATTACGTACACAGAGCTGGTGAACAGTGTGGAAAGCAGCGTGGAGAGTAGGAGGGGAGGGTGTATTAAATGACTGTGTGAATATGAGCTGTGAAGACAGATCCTATGAAAACCTGCCTGGAGTCACAGCTGAGCTGCTGCCACAGGAGTTACACCACAGACACAGCAGGAATCTGGTCATTCTGGTCTGCCAGCCCTTCCCAGTGCACAGCAGAGC